GGAAGGTGGAAGGTGTCCCTGCCCATGGCAGTGGGTGGAACTGGATGGGCTTTAAGGTTCCTTCCAACCCAAACCAGTCTGCAAGTCTAGGAAATAAGACAAATTTTGCTTTTCTAGTCCTGCTGTAATTTAGTTTTCTCCTGTAGGAATCATGGTAAAATGACAGATTATTATTACTTCCTTGGACAAACAGTCCCCTCCACACCTTTTATTTTAGCCTGTTAGAATGGCAAAGCATCACAGCTCATTCCAAGTTCTCCTCTGCTGCCTCTTCCATTTTTATTCCAGCCTCTTATCAGTAGATTTGTTATGAAATGCTTCTGTATCTCTGCTTTATTTCCACCCCTTTGTTTACTTTATGAACCCTACAATGAGTAAACAAGACAGAGCTCCTAATGCTCCCGAGCTTGCAGAGCCCTGGTTTAGTGCTGGAAGACCTACCACACTTTCCATGAGGTTTTCATGGTTAAACTCTGTTCTTACTCTAAAGAAGGAAGGTATTTACATAGCAAAACGTGTCCCTTTTGGGCAGATGGGGAAATGAAAACACCCAGGGTTCTCAATTCCACTAAACTGAGATCATGCCTGGACCTCACAGGAATTACAGCTGGAAAATACAGGGAGCAGAAGATAACAAAGAGTGAAGGTAACTCAGACACCTCTCCAGTGGGTTGACTTGCTTTTTCCTTCTATTTTTCCTCCTGATGAACACATACTTAAATCAGATTGTAGTGAAAACCTGCATGGATGGGACTGTGGCACAGCCCAAATGCTGCTGGTCATGGAAAGTTATGCTTTGCTGATGGCATAACCGTGAGAAAACCAGGATTTGCTTTTCATTCCAAAGAAGAGCATTGTTTAGTCTGTTAGCCCCACAATCCCTACCAGGATGAGAGCACCACTCAGACACATCTCAGTGAGAAGAAAGTAAATACCACTACTTTTTCCCCAAGGGGGTCGTGGTGGAAATCTATTTGCAGAAGCACTTTCTAAAACCTGGCACCAATCTGAGCTTCTCAAGTGTGTCATCGAGCCCAGAGGAGATGAATTCACAGAACAGAACTGGCAAGAGAGATAAATGGGGGAGAAAATGAGAAGGTATTTTGAATAAATGCCTTCAAGAAAAAAAAAAACCTAGGCCTTTTAGCAACTTAGATGTTTCTAAACCTGGCAGAAGTTCAGCTTGTGACATTCATGCACTCAGAAAAAAAACACCCAATAAAATGGTGTAATTCAAACTTTTGTGCTTTTGGCTATGGAAACAGGATTTTACTTCAAGGGTTTATATATCAGTGATGAGTTTCAGTCAACACCAGATAGAAACTTTAGATACTTCATGCCCATAATATATTAAAACCATGGAATGGTCGGGGGTGGAAGAGACCTTAAAGATCATCTCTACTTGATGGAAAAAAGCCACCATTTTTTCATGAAAACTGGTGAACTTAAGAGAATGGGGACAAGGATCCTCATCTACCTTGTCCAACCACTCTAAAAGGGAAAAAAACCCTAAATAAGAGAACATCACACATCTTTCATGGCTGTTTTCAGATGCATTGTTCTTCTCTAAAATCAGATCATTTTACCTAAAAATGAAGCAAAGTCCTACCATAGTGTGCCCACTTTTCAGCTACTACTAACCACAAGTTTAGGCATTAATTTTAGGTAATTCAGCATCAACCCTGGAGGATCTGGGTTTCAGTCTCCAAAATCTTGGCAGTATTTCATCCCTAATAAGATGCACTGTGATCAAGACCTATTAGAAAGCACATCTTACACTCATCCCAAACCCAGATGCACTGCAGTGATGAGACATCATGTGCAGCAGCAAAGACACTTCTGTCTCAGTAACTTCTCAGAGCCAGATCCCAATTTCAAAACATCAGGGAATATTCCAACGCAAGTGGCCAATTGTTTTGGAAGGAAATCAGAAAAATAGAGTGGGGAAAAGAGGTGGGGAATGGCTGGATCCATATGGTGAGATGTTGACATTCTGCATGACTTATTTTCTGGACAAACAGTAATGCGTGAGAAGGAACAGCATGGGAGAAAAATAAAAGGTTATAGAGTGTGTGGTGAGAAAACAGGAAAAAATGGGTTAGGAAGGGGCAGATATGGGAAAAGGCAAGAACAACAAGCAAATGGACCCTGCCAGGGTGGAAATGATGTGTCCAGATAGTGCTGGCACAGAAGAAGTGTGACCAAAGGGATGATCATGGGATTCTGACAGGAGGGAAAGGGTCAACAGGAACAGAGTCCCCACGAAAGAGGGGTGAAGTCCCTGTGGAGAGGATGGTGCTGCCAGCAGGATGGGTGCCAGACCCTCAGGCTTAGGGGCTGGTGAGAGCACTTGGACACTGGATTTTGAAAATATTACCCTCTCCTTGGCAGAGAAATGGGAGCAGTAAGGCAGGGGCACCACACTCAAGTAACGCCTGGGACAGCTGCTCCCTGTTATAACAGCCCCAGTTTTTGGTGCCATGTGGATTAGCCTGGGAGTAGCACATGGAGAAGGTGTTCTGTATGGCTTAATTCCCACATGAATTCCCCATGGGAAACGACTCCTCAGACAGTCCCACCCCCCTTTGCCTCATGCTCCTGCACAAGCAGGTGAAGGCTAAGCCAGTGCTGATGTTGGAGGAGATGAGAAGAACAAGCAGGGAAGGGATCAGCTCTGTCACTCTGGGTTCTTTGGCAAGGACGCCACCAAACACCAGACCCTTGAAGTCTGGGGACAAGAGGAGCAGACACAAATTTCAGTCCTTCCACACACACAAACGCCCTGCTGGATGCAGAACTTTCATTTCATCATAAGACTAGACAAGAGCAGAAACGATTCAGAACATACCCCAGTCTTTCACTCATATCCCAGGCCTTGCACTCTGTTTAAAATGTCACAGTTTTGTACATTTACAGATACTCTCCATGTCCAAACATGAAGAGTCTCCCTTATTGATTAGGTATTTGAGCCAAAACGTCTCCACTTGAAGAGTGTCAAACACAAATCTAATTTGATTATTCTGTTCAGACAGGCTTTCCCTTCAGAAAGGTCATATTTAATCTGGCGTTATTCCATCATGGATCTGGCCACAGGATATCTGAATGGCTACTAATAATATGGCATCCATGAACTAGTAATATGGTACCCATGAAAAACCTAGCTAAACATCAGTTTTTCCCCCTCCACATCCCTACTTTTTACTCCCTCAATTCCAGTTTCTTTGTATGTGGCTTAAAGGAGAAAAAAATTAGTATCGAACATGATTCATAAAAGTAACTCCAAAAGGTTTCATTTTGGGTCAGAAGTTTTGATGTCTAAATGGGAACAAAATACACTAAATCCTGCTCCAAATAAAAATACAGCCACAAGGAATGACCTATTACTGCAATTTAAAAGGTAACTGTTATCAACTTAACATGATTACTTAAAGTGCTACAGGAAAACAGGCACTGACTGACCCTCGAAACAAGTTTACCCACAAAATTCCTCATTACCTGCCCACTGCAGACCAGAAAATGCAATTATCTCCAGTAACTTGTACCACCTCACACAAAACTGAGAAGAGCTGGGTACAATAACACTGCAATATCAGACAGACAGGTGGAAGAATGATGGTTTTACCCTTTGATTTACTCACACAAAGCCTTCTGCAGAGAATCATAAAGTTCAGGATCTGTTTGTAAATGATCCCCCAAAATTGGCTTTATTTCTGTTTTAGGTGTAATTATTCTCGTCACTAAAGGAAAAGGAGGGTGCAGAGGGATCAGTGCTGTCATTAACTGTGACTTCCATCACTTGTCAGAATCAATCACTGTATGAACAGAAGATGAAACTAAAACTCAATTAACTGGGCCATTTTCCAAGGTACACAAATTTTGAGAAACTGTTTTTGAACAAACCCTTCCAGAGCACTTACTTTCAAGAATTAATAAGCAGACTTTAGGGTTTTATATTTAATAACAATTGTTCTACCCTGTACAGAGCTTAAGACACAACTGAGAGTTTCTATTTAAAACAGAACATTAAAAACCATCCAAATATGCCAAATCAGAGCTAGGGGAAAAGTTTAAAACTCTTTTAAAAATTAACAGAGCCTTTAAGATTTAGCACAAGGAACTCACTGTGTAGGTCAGGATTGACTGATTTATTGATGCTGGAGTCCTCTCACTAATCATGATCAATCTACCACTATCATTTAGTCCAATTCAACCCTCAAACAACTGATTTCCAAGAGCAAAGTTTTTCTGTAAGATATTCTGTTTTTTCAGTCTTTTAGGTGACTTGCTGCAGGAAAAGAGAATTTTCTGTTTAATGTAGACACGATGATTTTTAGTCAGATATTTTGTTCCATGTTCACATCTGAGCAGGATCTCAGACAGAATTCACTGAAACCACCAGGAGGCTTTTTGCTGATTTTTAGGGGATTTGGGGTTAAGCTTTTAAGTGAAGATAAGTGGTGAATTTTTAACATTTTTCTCTACACAGGGGCAAATCAGGGATATAATCCAGATGCTTCTGCTGTGCCAGTTGCACTGGGAGATGAATGAGATGCATCCTGGTGTGTGATTACTGGCCTTATCTAGTAATGCTGGATTTGTATCAGAATTAATACACAATGTCAAAAGGCACATTCCTTAAGAGCATGTGCCAATTCCTCTGGAAATAAGGACTCAATCTCAAGGCTGTCCATACACCTGTTCTCCTTAGGCTCTGGATAATCCTCACTACACCCCAAGGTGGAACGAATTTGTCCTTCCAGCCAAGCCTTCTGCTTTCACTTGTGCGTTTGACAGAAAAGTGGCTACAAACAACACAATTCTGCATCCAGCACCTCAACACAAACCCAAATTCAAGGCCAAGCCTCCCCCTTGGATGAGAGATTAAGTTTTAACAGTTAGGCAGTGCTGTGGTTATAAAATGCAAACTCAAATTTATCCTTAAACCAGGTTGTGTTAAAAAAAAACAAACCAACAAACCAACATATAAAAGAAGCACTTACTTATATGCTGCTATAGGTTGTGGCTGTCCCATCCCTTGAAGTGTTCAAGGCCAGGTTGGAACAACTTGGTCTAGTGGAAGGTGTCCCTGCCCATGGCAGGGGTGGAATGAGATGAGCTTCAAGGTCCCTGCCAACCCAAACCATTCCGGGATTCTATGATACAAAAAAGTCCTGATTTTAACAGCAAAGACACCAAAAGGCAAATGAGGACATGGCAATCAAGACAAGAGTACTCCAGAGGAGGAACTGGAATTGCCCAACTCCCTGGTTAAGGAAACTCATCTCAGAGGGGTTTCTTGATGCAGCTGAGGAATTCAGTCCTTACAGAAGAACACTGAATATTTTGAGGCTCTTTTTGTTAAAAACCAGTTTTAAGTAATTAGAAACTGGAAGTCAGTCATCAATTCCCATCCAGAACTAATGAGTATTTTATGACATAGTTCTTTCTAAATTGCCACTTGCCTGCCCCTCCTTCCGTCTCATTAATACCATCCAGAAATCACTGTTTGTGAGTTCTGAATGCAGGGCTGGCCTTTGGCTCAGCTTCTGACACCCAGAGGTAACAACAGCTCAGTCCCATCAGGGAAGGGAAGCTGGGATGGTGGAATTACTGACTGGGAGAGCTTAAAATTAACTCTCCTATTCCAGAGGACCTTGGAAGTGACAACCAGTTGCTTTGGGTTGGTTTTTGGTGGAACTAGCTAAAGAAGGAGCAGGGAGGGGACCCTTAGGCCCTACTGTAGGCCAGGGTTTGTTCAGGGATCTGAGGGTTCCAAGGGCAACCCCAAGAGTTCAGGTGAGGGCTGGAGTCAGGGCAGAGCTGCAGCTCAACACTTGGAGCTGGGACCTTCTGTGCTCCCAGGGCTAAAACTACTAAAAGGAGATGAAGAGAACAGAGCAATGATGGGGCACAGCGCTGTAAAAGAAGAGAGGGACAAAGATACCTGTGTTGATCTTTGGGTGACCAAAGGGAGTTGAATAATCCCAACCCTGAGGATATTTGCTGAATCCTAATTAACTTTGCACATTCATCACTTCTGAGACTCCCAAAGGCTGTGCATTTTGAAATTATTTCTAATGATTATCTGTCCAGCTATTATGAGATCCTTGAAAACTAAGATATTTTCTGCTGTAGATTTTAATTAAACAGTAAAATATTTGTTAGAAATACAATCTTCTTTGAAGGAATGGGGAGAAAAGAGAGCATGTTCTGGACTGGCTACAGTTTCTATTACCTGACTCAAAAGGTAAAATTTACTTCCTGTATGCATGAAAAATATGCTGCATTTCTTAATATTTTAAAATGAAAGTAAGAGCAGAGTTCTCTTTTGGGACTTATTCCATGGGAAATGGTTTTATCATTATGCAGTTGTTTGAAACATCTTAACGTCTCCTTGCAATCACTATTTAGTGATAAAAAAACTGGCCACACGGGGTGACACTGAGTTGTGTTACTGGAAACAAGGACAAGCTGTTAAATCCTCTCCTGGGTGAAGTGTCCTGTGTTTAAGATAGGGATTTGTGTATCCAACATCCTGTGAGGTACAGCCAGGAGACACAGACCCCCAGACAAGAGGGCCAGTGTGTCCCACAGTGACTCATGAGCACACTCAGATTGTCCTCACACATTAAAGGGTTCAGCACACAACTGGATTAGGCCTTTCATCTCTCCTTCCCCACCCCAGTGATCCCAAATTCCCATCAACTTCCAAACTCGATCAGCAGCCATCGCAACAACTATTGCAGCTTTTGTTTCTGTGTGGTAGAAAGGCTTTTTTTTTCCTTTTAAAGATGGAAAACCAGTAACAAAAGCTCCTGTTATATTGGGATGCCCAATATGACCCAGGCTTGGGTACAACAAAATGAGGAACAAAATCCCAAGACCAGATCAAACAGTCCCAACAAAGGGTAAGCAAGACATACAAATGTCACCATCAATCCTCCTGTTCCAAGGATATGCTTTGTAAGGCACAATAAATACAGTTTAACTTGTTCCCAAATCCTCAAGCAAACAAAAACATCCAAGCAGCAGCTGTCAGTTATTCATATTGACCAAGAAAATGAAAGCACCAGTCAGTATAGTGGAAAATGAAGCTCAAAGCAGGTGATAAAAATCAAAATTCACTGGCATTGAGAGCCTCAGCTGAATTCTTGAATCTACCAGATGCTAACACCCCTGCTTTTGTCTCAGCACTCCATTTAAAGATTTCAGATTAACTCTATAAAACTTGAGCATGAATATGATTTCTGGGGTTTTGTGCACGTGGTTTGTCTTTTTAACTCCACAAAAGTGAGTAGTTAATTTTATCAGCATTCTCCAGGAAAACATGTAATTGAAAATACAATATAACACAGGCAGTGAATGCCAGTTTAGCTGTCAGCAAGCAAAAAGCTAAGAAGATCTCAGGGTTTCAGAGCACAACAGCTGGGAGCACTGCTGGAACTACATATTTGAAATTCCCCATTTCAACAGACAGCCCTGTTCTAAGTACTCCACAGTAAGGTCTTCCCTAAAACCAACCATCCAAAAGCAAGGCTGTTCTATGTGTAATTTTGCACAATTATGTTCAATACACATAACTTTCTCTATTAAACAAAGCCATGGGTTGAGTCTCAGTTTAAAGGCAATCTTCTTCCTATCCCCCAAGAATTTTCTGGGAGAAAACAGGTATGTTTTTAGAATCCCTCTCCTCTCCCCAGCAGTATCTACACTTCCAGGTGTTTAGGGCCAGTGGGAAGAGTCTCCTGCACACGGAGACAAGGAATGATCATCCTCCTGGGAGAGGAAGCAGGGACCAACCAACCAGTCCATTAGAAAGAGAAGTATCCAGACTATTTGTTACAATCTAGAACTAGTCTGCAGGAAGTAAAATTTCCCCCCCAAAAGCAGAAAACCTCCTGCTGAAATACTGGTCATGGGGAATAAACAACTGTGACCCATTTTTTAATATAACCCAGAAACAGCTCAAACAAACCTCAGCATAAAGGACAAAAGCAAAACAATAAAACAAGATAAATACAAGGACAAGGCATTGGAGAAAATGTTTCTCTAAGAGTGTCCCAGCTGATCTTTAAAATTTAATCACAATTCACCAGCCAGAGCTTCCTTACCTATTTTATTGGGAGACACTTCCCTGTAAAGCCCTCCAGTACACACTGGTCATGTATTGCAGGGGCCACTTAAACAAATCAATGACTCATTAGTACTTGGTGAGCATCTAGCTTAATAAAATAGTCTGTTCATCCGTTATCAGAGACTAGAAACAATCCCTGCAGAGTGAAAGATGTAGGATCTTAGAAGTCCTGCTGTGTTAAGGACTGAGATCAGGGTTAGAGATCATTTTAGAGCTTTACATTGTTGTCAGTATAACAATACAATTTGATATGTGGTTTACCAGGACAGTTTGTTTGGGTAACTCCTGGGTATTAATGAGTTTACATTCATTTTATGGGATTGAAGTCTGTTTAAAGGGTTTAGGAAGTTACCTGAGGTCATAACAACTAGTTAGGAAGGTTACCAGCTTTCTTAGAGGAACGAAGAGCCTTCAAAACCAGTGCCAGCCTGACCAGCACCCCCTTATACAGTTTTTTTCCCTTCAGCTAAACATATGTTTTCAATAAACATCTCTGTTAAGTACAAAAACAAGCAGCTACAACAAGGGTGGGAGGGATAGGAAATAAAAGTTACACCACAAAGATAATACTCACAAATCCAGCAGCAGGTTAAATAAGGGAGCTCAGGAACCAAGCCTAGAGCCTGAAGTGACTCTCTGTGCCAAACGTGAGCTCGCTGATGCAAAAAACAATACACTCACCTTCTCCAAAGCCTGGTTGCTCGGGGTACTGCTGGGAACAGAAAGCTCCAGCTATTGAGAACAGACACAGCCTTCTCCTGATGGTGGGGACCTCAGAAACTGATGAAAAACTGAGCAAGCTCCACCTTCACAAGCTCTGGTGGGATCAAAATCACCCAATTTAATACATTCACCACCTTAATTGCAGGAGAACTGACCTGGAAATGAAAGAGAGCTTTGATGCCCTCTGCATCCCTGCATACCAGTGCTGGCAGGGTCCAGACTGGAAAGTGGAAGAGGTCAAGTACTACCTTACATCCCATCTTTTTTATGGAAGGCTTTTAAAAAACTCACAGATTTACCATGTACTAAGAGATAAGTGATGATAATTTACCTGCATATTTAAATAGAGCCTCTACAACACATCCTACAGTAATTCCACCTTCATGGCTTCTGAAGTTTGTCACTTATACCATCAGGAAAGCACCACTGGATACATTTTATCTTTCTTCTCGCCTCTTGAAATTTAAGACAGACAAACACTTAAGCATCAGATACGTTTATTAGACAACTCGAAAAGTCAGTTTTATTAGACAACTCAAAAAGAAAAGTAAAATGTATTTTAATGTCCATGTTTTAATACTTCATGATCTCAAGAACGTGGCAATCACAGAAGATAAAAACAGTGTTTACAAAAGTTCCAAAAGCTGCACTGCATTCCCAGCTACAGGAAACAGGATTAGGGACAAGGAAGCTTTATAAAATGCAGCCACAGATTTTCAGCTCATTATGAAACACAGTGATATAGCCATGTATATGCATTCACAAAAAAATCGGCACAGTATGGAAATTAAGGCACTTTGGATACATAGTATTCACTTCCAAATAGGAAAACAATTTCAGAGAAACCACAGTAAATTGCTACTGGAGGATGGTGACAGTATGCCCAGTACAGACCAGCAGAGCACCAAGGTTGGGTGAGTGAGTGAAGTTCTGGTTAAAAAAAAAAAAGCAATGAAATATTTTTTTTTTTACCCTATTTGATTCAAGCAAATTTACTTTTACAGAGGCCAAGGAAGATTTCCATGATTTAAACACTGATAAAAACAATTTTAAGAGTTAAATGTAAGAAGTCCATGTGAAAACTGCATGAAGTTCACATTAAGGATTAGTGCATGTAACTGTTTCAAAAAGAATAAAAATAAAAAGCAATGGCCTTCTCCATTCAGCCTTCACCTGCTGTTTCATGAGGTCCCCACCAACCCCAGCCAGACCAAGGGAATACAGTACAGCAGGATAATTTGGCAAAAAGCAATTTCTCTTCAGAGCTGCACTTTCTGCTCCTCCTGTTCAGTTCAGATTGTCCCTGTTTCCTTCCTGTGTCCCCCTGTGCCACCAGCACACTGATATTTAAGACATCTACAACACATTCCACAAATAATCATTCTCTAATTGAAAGAAAAAATCATCTCAGCTGGTTTCCCCCCACTGTGAAAGCAAAACTTAGTAATTGAGTAGTTTTGCAGCCTTTGGTAGGTAAATGCCAAGGAGTAAAACCACTCCAAAGTTCAACTCTAATCCACCAGGAGTTAAATAGAATTGTTAGCAATGGCATTGGGCATTTATAGGATCAGGCACTTAAATTGGGTATTATTGTTGCCATTTCACTTTATTATTTTGCGTAAAAAATGCCATTTTATAGGAAAAAAGGTAACTTCTTCAAAAATCAAAACAGGGCTTAGACATGGAAATGATGTTTACTCCAAAGAACTTGGCTTTTAATTAGGCCAAATAATTCCCATGGGAGTAGGGTCCAGCAGATTTCATCCAGAGCCAGGAAGAAGACACTAAGATACATCTGGACAAGTATATCCTGCTATATCTCCAATGTACCATTAACATCCAGGAGAAACTGTCCTTTCATGTCAATTCTTCTTTTACCAGAACAACAGCCTGGACACCCTTCATTATAAAACACAGCATTCCCCAGCACTGAAATGTTCCCCTCACACACAGCTGATATTTCCATTTAAAACATGGAATTAACCTTCCTGAAACCTGATTTTCCATTCCTACTTGAGCCATATTCCAGTACTTGGACCACAGAATGATTTCCAGTACTTGGACCACAGAATGATTTCTGTCCCCAGTATCTGAGTGTTCACAGAAAATCCATCCATTTTGAACCTTTGCTCTGGGTTGTATCAGAATCTATTCTCACAAAACTACAGTAATAAAACTTACTTTTCTAAGTGTGATGATGTGACTCTTTATCAGCATAAAGCTATTTGAAAATATAGTGTTTTATGTAACAATCATTTTTTTTACAGACAAAAAAATAGTAATTGAATAAGTCTGTTTTAAAAGCAATGAGAAGAAGTCCTACTCAGAACACTCAATTCTTTGCAATTCAGGCATTTCACACATAAAAATAAAGAACTGAACACAAGATTGTAATTTTAAGTGTCCTGAGAGCAGTTTCTCCTTTTGTGAACCTTCATAAGAGAAGTAATGTCAGCTCTGAGCACTAAAATATATTATTCCCCAAATATATCCCCATTTGTTAAGCTGAATAGGGACACAGAGTATCTTGGTGGGGAGAAAAATATCTTTTAAATAAACATCATAAATGGAAAGAAGGATTTTTAACCAGGGTTATTTCCTTTTGCTTTCATTAGGTAGTAAGAGAGTTGGCATAACTTATGTTTCATTTAATGTTATCAAGAAAAAAACCAAAATTACAATCCATCAGATGAAATTAAATATTAACTCATCCCTAATCGAGGCAGAAAGATTGATCAAGTTGAACAGTATCAATTAGGATAATCTTTAGACTGTTCTACTTTGATTACATGGTTCAAAACCCAACAGGAATGTTGACCAGTGTCACATGTATCAATGTGATATCAGTTAATACCAATTAACCCAAAAGTTAATGCATTGATAGTGAAAAAAACAGGTAAAACTCCTTGTTTTGTAAACCTAGAGGACAAATTTGCAATAGTAATCCCAGATTTGACTGAATACTTTAAGCCAACTGTCACCACTGTCCCTTTGGCTGAAGTGCATCATAAAAAAGCACATTATGGACTGATAAAGCTACATGTTTATGCACCACATGTTATAATATCTATACATATACACAGAGTATGGTAAGAAAGGCTGTAAAATAGCAAATGTTACCAGCACCAGAGTGAAGTCCTACCACTGCTCCCAGCTAAAGTCATCTCCTCTCCCAAACACAAGGAAAAAGCCTAAAATAGTAAGGAAAATGACTGCATTGCCAGCCAGCACCAGGCCACAGGCTCCCCATTTGATCTGAAATGCAAGGAAATGGAACAATCAAAGCAAATCAAAGTCCAGGGCAGATATTTCTATGCATTAGAGAAACTAAAAACACTACAGGAAGGTGCTAAAAGCATACAGAAAAAGACGAATAATAAATAATTCAATTTATGTGGCTAATTATTCAATTAGCAGCCACTCATACTGCTAATACAACACTTCAACAGGCTAATGCTATGATGCAGAACAAAATAAAAATAATAAAATAATAATGAAAATAATATAAATATATAAATAATATAAATAATCTATACATAATATAAATAATATAAAAATACAAATATAATAAAGTAAAATAACTAAAATAATTTTTAAAATAATAATAAAAAACCACTTGCCATAGAGATCATTAAAACATACCTAAATCAGAGAGAAATGTTATGAAATTAGTGCTCTCCTTTAATTGCCATGCAACAAAATAAAAGATCTCCTTTCAAATAACTAACGAGCATTTAAAAAATGGTCTTAAAAGTAAATAGCCTTTCTTTTAACAATTTGTCCAACTGATTTTACTCAAATAAGCAACATTTAACACTAAAAGGTACAGTTGTGAATTAGAGTTCCCTCTCGTGGTCATTCTGCTTCTATCTGGCAGCTCCTAGTGCCAGATCCACAATTTCAAAAGTGTCAGGGAAATTGGACATTAAAAATAAACTCAAACTCAGCGTACAAGTTTCAAGAAAAACTCAAAGACTGAAGGGGAAAAACAACACAACAAAAAAAGTCACTGGGTAGTTTGGGAGATGGGACAAAGGAATTCTTTGCCTGGCAAATAAATGTGACAAAAATCTCACCCCTGAAGAGCAGCTCAGAAAGCAAAGAGAAGAGGAGTTAAGTAGAGTTTCCTCAGACTCTGAGGGGACAAAGCAAGAGCTTGGGAAATGCTTTGAAAACTAGGAAGGGCAGTTCTAGAAGTTTAGCCTTTTATCTTTTAACTGACAAAGGACTCCAGTCACCAAGTTTTCAGCATCCTAAATGGAGAAAGCAGACATTCCAAGATAAAAATAAGGAAGCTGGTGCAAAGGGTCATGAGATACAGAGGCATGAGATGGAAGAGGAGATGTTATCTTGTATTAGACCAAAACGAATCCAGGGCAAAGAAAAACAGCTAAAAAATTTTCAGTCATGCAAGTCCTTCATTCGGGTCAAAAAGCAGCACTGACACAACTTCAGCAGATTGTTTTCATCTGGAGACATCAAATAATAAAATTAACGACAGGATTTACAGGCAGCAACAGTGCATTTAAAGATTATTCTCAGCAACTGGTGTCTAAAAATAAAAATTAGCAAGAACTTACTGCTTCAACCCGTGCAAGGATTATTGGAAATCCAAAAGCTGAGACAACAATTCCTGTGGTGAAGAAATAGGCCAGTTCTCTGCAGGCACTGCTGGCAGCATCACTGTCATCACTCACTCTTCTGGCAATGAAGTGGGGAATGGGGCAGATGAAGTAAAATATCAACACAAACAGAGGCCAGTACACACTGGGAAGGGGGAAAAAGGAAATGTATAATCAGTTAAATGGATGCTTCAGTCAGAAAAATTATTGCAATAGCTCTAATCCCACTTTATAGTTTGAAAAGGGGATCACCCACCCACAAGATTTCACCCAAAAAGTGGCAATCCCACCTCACTTTCCCT